GTCTCCACATCCTCTCTGAATTTCCCTGGCGGCGGCTCTGCCTCGCTGTCATAGGGCATATAACATGAGATCAGAAGAAGAGGCAAATCCTTCTTCTTCCTCTCCCAACTCACCACAGTTGTATCGCCGTCACAAAAGTTATCTAAAAGAAAAAGTTTTAGTTCCTTTCTGGCGAAAATACAAATCTGCTTTATCTCCCAAGGGCTAAGCTCCTCCGGGGTTTTGAGCGATAGCCGTTGCAGCCTCCTCCTAGCACTGCGTAGCTTTTCCACCTTGAAGTACGGTCCCACTGGCGACTAAGCCCCACTTGTGGCCAAGCCCTCGCCGCCCTTTGAAGGTCCGGACGACACTTGTGCTGATATCCCAGCACGCTCTTCAACACTCCTTTCCGACATCCTTCATAATAGTTGGGTTGTGGGATTCTCTTGGTTTTTTTAGACCTCCTCTTCGACCTTATCGGCATGGTTGCGCCTGCTAGACACTGTAAAAATATACAGTATCCGCCGACATCGCTCTTGGGTTCTTTAGTCCTACATAAGCCTCCCCACCACGACAAGGTGGAATCCCCCGAGGAGGTAATGAACCAAACTTTGTGACAGTGCTCGACACACTCCCCCAAAGTCCAGATCTCTAAGAAAAAGAAAAGAAATCAAAAGTATTTTTCTTCTAAAGAGAATACGAGTACGTTCTTTTCATTATGTCCGACTTATGAAATGCGAATATGTTCAAATGCTTTCAACAGAGTTAAAGTTTTTGTTGAAACAATTTTGACTTTCTGACACGTCGTTTGTATTTGGAATATTGGCCAAATTATTATTATATCTTTTGCCTTTGTACCTATATTGTTCCTAATAGATTGCTTAGAAACTGTTACATAATTAATTGTGCATTGTTAGCAATTGAACCTCCTTAATGTTTTTTTAATAGAACGTTTTAGTTTGTTAGAGATCAACGGTTATACTCGTAATGTGTTTTATTACTGAGATCACGAATTTATTGCTACTTCTACTTATTTGTAAAGCACCGAGCTTTCATTAAACTCATTAAACGAAGTTTTTTTTTAGCATTTACTATAATACTTAATTTATGCTGAGTGACGTCACATAAAAAATTACATAAAATAGTAACTTGTATTTTTAGCCATCAAAGAATTCAACTTTTTTTTTATTTTTCCTTGGCGTCGTTTTGTTTTTTTTTTTATTTTTACTTTTATGGAAATCTTAAAGCGTCACATCATATGATTCGGCACGTGAATATAAAATAGACCTGATAATATTAAATTTTTATTATGAGTTTTTTTTCGAGGTTTTTAACTATAATGCTTGTATTTATATTTTTGTTCATTTTATTTTTTCAATGTTAATTAATTTGTACATGATTTACTTAAACATCAAAAACAATGTATATAGAAATATATATGTACATACATATGATACATATGTATATGTATATAAAAACACTGTACTATCTATACTGATAGAAAGAACTATATTGATGAAAGAAAAGATTTATACGAAAATTTAGATATAAGAATTACGAGTATGAATGTATTATGAAATATAATAGGAATTTAAGAATTAAAATTTCTCAAAATTGTCACAAAGAAAACTTGATAAACTTATTGACATTATAGTATTGAGTAGCAAACTATACGAGCGTGTAAGTTTGTAATTGTCAGTGACGAAGTTTACAATAATTTTCCATAATCATTATTACATGTAATAGTCAGTTATATGAGTAAAATAATTATTCTGGAAAAAACCACAACGTGTAGAACATATATGTATTAAAAATATTATTTAAGCATATCAGTTTTATTAATGAATAAATCCAACTATTTAAAATCGATATTTAATCAGTTATGAGCATTAAATTTCACTTAAAATCAAAGCAAATTTGATATAATCCTCGAATAAATAATGAAAATTTTATAATGAATTTATTCAGTGCTAAGTAAATGTAATTTTATTTGATCATAAAACAATTTTTTAAACTTAATGTAGGTGACTTTCATATTGTAAAAAAAAAGGCTTTTAAACTGTATAAAACCACTTAAGCAAGGATATGTGTGACCTATAATTAGAGACATAACCGCCAAGTCTCATGAATGAATTTCACTTTATTATTTTTCCGTAGAGAAATAAAAAATTTGAAGTTAAGGAAAGCACCCAGTTAAAATTTAATTACTTCTGAAATATGAAACAATTACCAAAAAAAAGTATAACAATGTTGACTTTTTTAATGAATTCTACATTAAGAGTGAAATATCTGCCTTATGCTTGGAAGTTGGCAGAAGTTATAATGATACCAAAACCTGGTAAACCTTTAAATGAGACCAAGTCTTATAGACCAATTTCTCTGCTACCAATTTTGTCGAAACTTTTTGGAAAGTTATTACTGAAAAGGACGTATAACTGAGGAGAGGTCATTAATTCCGAACCACCTATTTGAGTTTAGAGCAGAACATTCAACTACTGATCAAATTCATAGAGTTCAATAATACAAATATTTAATACTGAAGCCCTAGAGAAAAAGCAAATTTGTACAACAATTTTTGTAGACGTGGCAAAGGCTTTTGACAAGGTTTGGCTCGAAGGATCAATATACAAATTAGAGAAAATATTACCAAACAATATGTTGATATTCTCTCTTCTTATTTAAACGACAGATTATTTAGGGTTAAACATTTAGAGGACTATTCCACACTTAGAGAAATAAAAGCAGGTGTGAGCAGAACTTTGGGTCCAATACTATATCTACTCCTTACAAGAGATGCGCCTCAGATAGAAAACATAATGGTGGCTACACATATGCTGACGATACTGCAATTATGGCAGTAGGCTCAAATATTGACGACGCCACGAAAAAGTTGTAGCAGGCAAGCAATAGTTTCGATACTTGTATTCTTAAACCGGTTTGGTTTTTTTAACTGTTTAATATCAGATATCAGGGTTTTATGGCAGCTACTCGAACCAGTGCAGCCATTTTAGTTTTTCAGTAATAACTGTGTGACAGTTACCCGAATTCTTTTTTTGAATTTATGCAAAATAGTAGTCGACCTTGCCAGAAAAGAAACAATTTATGAAAGTTTGGTGGTGTTTGTTTCATTCGTTTTGGAGTTATGCGATCCGGCGGACAAACGGACATGTCTTACATACATATTTTAATTTTTGATATAAATTTACCTACAGTTTTAGCACTTACAATACAAAGTTTATTTCAAATTGTATGTTCCTTTACATTTTATGTCAATAACATTCCCTTTTTTAACAAATTCTTTCTCTCTCATTAAGGTTTTTGAAAAATGTAACTTCGGCCTTCATTTTGATCGTATTAAATTGAAGCTGAAGAAATTTTCTTATTTTTGTTTTAATTGTCGAGTGAGCATTATTATACATACATACATACATTTAAATATTTTCTCTGTATTTCGGATGCCAGCTAGTGTCCACACACTATTTATATATAAGATATAAGTCAATTTGTTGTCATCATGGTGTTGTCGTCCCTGGTTCTTAAATATTTTATATACAATTTCTATTTTATTACAATTTCCTTGCATTTTTTTCATTGCGTTTTTTTTTCTTTTTTTTCGTAATAATTAAGACATCAAATTCACTTGATGAACGAAAATATTTTTGAATGTCAATTTTAGCAAATAATAATTATTTTAATTGAAGAAATTAATTTGTTATTTTTTACCATGATACATTTTGTCATAATATTCTTTAAAAATATAAAGTCTCTAGCTTTGTAAAAATGCTTTCTTCATTTTGAAATAAGTAATGAATCATTTTTCCTTAGCAGTTTTAACTTTTTGTTAATTTTTTTTATACATAAACGACTTTTGTTTTCATTTAAGTTTTCAAATGAGCTGTTGATGTACAAGTATATACATACAAATGTATGTACATTTAATTTTAATTAAGCTGGTCATCTAAATAAATTAATGAGATAGTTTCAAAGAGTTAGTTGAAAAAAATGTTGTGTACTATGGAAAATTGAGTGTAATGAAAACAATGGAATAAACGAGGGAATACAGTACGCATTTTCGGATATATGTACATACGAACATATTTTTCACTTAATTAATACTTCTACAATAAATTAATATTTAATTTAATATTTGACTTATAAGATCGTAAGTTAACTTTTTGCACATTTTCCGGGAATAACTTTTGAAGTAAAAACGGCACAAAGAAATTTTGTTATTGGTAAAACATTTATCAATATTACAATACCCATTTAAAATTTGATTTCTGAAGTGTGGTGCAGGTGAAGAATCGCCTTGAAAATTACAGGAAAACGGGCCAATTCAAAACCTCATATTTTTCTTTGCAATGATATAAGAAGTTTTTTTTGACTTTCCTGTGTTTAAAAAATTTGAAATATCGCTTTTATTTTTGACACATAACCCAAAGTATTTGACGCAGGATGTTAAAAACTTGCGTTTTCATGAATTCAAGTAGTGAATTGTAATTTGGAAGGGGAAAACTTTTACTTTTAAATCTGTTAATTTGTATAATAAAATTCTTACGTAATAATAATGTTCTAAATTTGTGATTACTTTGATAAAATAAATTTTGATTGTCGCACAACATAAAAGTTTCTTGTAAATTTTATCTACATATGTATTTACAATATCATTAATGAGCTTCATATCAGTGAACATCGTGAATAAATGATTTTATTATTATTTTTATATACTAATTTTAATAATTGCTTGACATTCCACAAAACATTGAAAATTTTTTTTAAAACATTAAACTACAATGTTGCTTAATGTGAAAAAAATCATTAATATACACTACGCATAAGTTTTTACTTATTCGAAATTAATAAGAAATTTCATATTTGTAAAATAAATTTGCGAGACATTGAAGAAGAAAAAGTGAGTTCTTTTCTTCCGATGACTATAAAAACTTTTTCGTAAAATTTATTTCGAAATCATTGCTCTTTTTCAACTTGTTTTTAAAATAGTTCTTTCCTTTTATTTTCAGTGATATTTATACTGTTGTAGCGCCAGGAACTATTCGTGCTAATTCTGATTATCATGTATCGGTTTCAATACATCAGGCAAAGCAGCCAGCTGAAGTTAAAGTTGGCGTCGAAGGAGAAAAATACAAAGATCATAAAACAGTTATGGTAGATCCAATGTCAACTGAAATAGTTAAATTTAAGGTAAGAATTGATTTAAATAAAACTTGGGAAAGAATTTAAAATTAAAGTTAATTTAATTTTTTTAGATTCCAGATATAGAGGATGGAACCTATAAATTAACTGTTGAAGGAGAAATTGGAGATAAAAAGTTTAGTAATTCAACAGAATTAAATTTTGCCAAAAAGTACTATTCAGTTTTCATTCAAACTGACAAAGCTACATATAAACCAGAAGACTTAGTAAGATTCCGTGTCTTAGTTCTTGATTCAAATACCAGGCCATTTGATAAGAAATTCAATGGAATCAATATTATTATTACTGTAAGAACTTTAAGTATATATTTTGAAATTTTAGTTTTATATAACTGAATATTTTTTGTTTCTAAAAAATTAAATTTAAAAATTTATAGGATTCTGCACAAAATCGCATCAAACAATTCCTTAACGTTGATCTAACAAAAGGTGTTTACTCAGGAGAACTTCAACTCTCCAGTTTTCCTGTTTTAGGTAATTGGAATATTGAAGTATCTGTAGATGGTGAACAATCGCAAAAAGGATTTGAAGTTGCAAAATATGTTTTACCTAAATTTGAAGTTCAAATTGATACACCGAGAGATGTTAGTGTTGCAGACGGAAAAATCCGTGCTATTGTCCGCTCAAAATATACTTATGGTAAACCAGTTAAAGGATCGGCTAAAGTTTCTGTTGAACCTTCATATCGTATTTGGAATGTTGAAAAGCAACCATATGCCGAAAAAACTGTTCCAGTTGATGGAAAAGGCAAAGTTGAATTTGATTTAAAAGAATTAAACTTCACAAATGATGATGAATCAAGCCGTTATCATTATTATCCACCAGTTAAAATGACAGCTATTGTTGAAGAAGAATTAACAGGCCTTAAACAAAATACAAGTACCACAATTACATTACATAGAGATCGTTATAAGATTGAAGGTTTACCAGAAAATCCACAATTTTATGAGCCTGGAATACCATTTAAAATACGTCTTGCTGTTAAAAATTTCGATAATACTCCTGTCATTGACAGTTCCGATCAAGTTGTATTAGAAGTTGAGAAACCAAGACATCATTATAGACCTATACCACTTACAGTCGGTGTTACCAGTACTACTGGTGATTCTACAGCAAAACCAGCAGAAGAAGAAGAAGTTGAAAATCAAAAAATTCCTGGAAACATAGATAAACAAGGAATTGTAACATTTGAAGTTACAATTCCAAGTGATAGTAAGGATTCATTTTATTCATTGAAAGCCACTTTCAAAGAACAAACTGCATATTTGGGTTCTGTTTCGAAGAAAACACCCAGAGAAGGCGATTATTTTGTAATCGAAAATTTAACAGATAAGTAAGTTAAAATTGCTACAACCTAATTAAAATTTTTAATCAAAAGTACTATTGTTTAATTTTAGACCTGCTTTGGGCAAAGATGTTGAACTTAAAGTATCATCAAACAAACCGATTCCATATTTTAATTATCATATTGTTGGACGTGGTAACATTTTAAAATCTGAACATGTTCAATTACCAGAAAATACCAAAGAACATACTATAAAATTTACACCAACATTTGAAATGATACCAAATGCGAACGTGATGGTTTATTTTGTTTCAGAAGGCAATTTAAACTTTGAAGAAACTAATATTAATTTCGAAAATGAATTGGAAAATCAAGTTGATATTACTGTACCAGAACAAGCCAAACCTGGTGAAGATGTCAGTATTAAAGTAAATACAAGTCCCGATTCTTATGTTGGATTGTTGGGCGTTGATCAAAGTGTATTATTATTAAAAAGTGGTAAGTAATTACTTAGCATATAAGTAGTTTTAACTAAGATATAATAGCATGACGTTTATTCTCTAATTAACAAATGATTATAGTTCAAATAAAATTTATAAATTGTTTTTTAATAATATATTCAATTCCTTATTTATTTTTTAGGTAATGATATTGCAAAATCAGATGTCTTCAGTGAATTAACACGTTATGGAACTACAACCCCGTGGATACGTGGATGGGGACGTTATCCAGGACAACAATCAGGATTAGTAACTCTGACAAACTCTGCTTATCCATTTGATGAAAGTAAGTGCTCAATTATATTAAATTATTCAATATAAAAAAATTATTGACATCAAAATGGTTGAAAAAAAAATTACAAAAATTGTAAATCCGTAGCTTAAGAGAAACAAAGCTTAAGAGAAACACATTAATTTTACGGAACAATATTAAGATAAGGTGAAAAAAATTGTTATATAGGCTTTTATATTGAAATTTTCCAACTTAGATTCAATTTGCTGAAATTGAAAGGAAAACTACGAAACAAAAGAACATGTCACAATTTCAATATATTAAATAAAAGATTTTTATATTTTTTATCCAATCAAATACATGACACTTTTATAGCTATCAGCAATTTTTTTGGGTTTGCCGGTGTACAAAATGGAGGACCACAATATCTTCATTTATCTATGCAAGACAAGCAAACGGATTCGATTTTTATTCGAAAATTTTATCCTGAGACATGGCAATGGAATAATTTTTTAATAGGGTTCGTTAAAATTTTGAAAAAAAAACTATCGTGCTCTTTAAAAATTATATTGATGAAACAACGTTTTGTAGAAGCTTTTTACTCAATATTATATTTAGATTTTTTATAAAACTTTATCAACTCTTGAGTAGATTATCTTATTTCGGATGTTAAGGGATGGAAGGATAAATTTAAATAATTTATTGTTTTTTAAATTTTATTAATTTTTGGTCAGTATTTTCAAATTTAATTTTATTTAAAATTATTAATGTAATTTAAATGAATGGCTAGTACTCTTTTTAAAGTCTTCACAAATAAATTTAAACTTTTATTAATTTTTTTTAATGTAATATTATGAAGGTAGAAATATTATATACATGAAAAATTATTCAAACAATATACATATTTTGCGCACATATGTATATGTATACTATATGTAAAAGTATATATAAATAACTATAGATTTACGTCACTCAATCTCAAAGAAGGGCTACCCAAGCGGGATTCTATTATATTCAGGAGATTACGATACACCAGATTCATCACCACCATTAACACCAACTGGACTTATTGATTCGATCTCAGATTCAGCTTTAAATATTGAATTTGAAAATTCAATACAAGACAAAAAAATCAATAAAATTCGTATAAAATTTTATGAAATATGGACATGGCGAGAATTACAACTGTTAGTAAATCATAAAAATTTCTTGTTTTAATGAAAATTAATTAACAATATGAAACGAACAAGTTCTTATAGTAGAAAGATCACCTATATATTTTTTTTTTAATTTTTAATTTTTATTTATTTTAATTTAGAATTAGCACAAAAATTGCCCTTTTTGGGATCATTAATAAATTTTTTAAAAAATATTTCTCTTACAATAGATTAGATATAGTTTCGTTATTTATTTTTATTCGAATAAACTCTTAACTAATTCCTATTATTATAAGACAACAAAATTTTTAATTTAACTTTTAATGGAAAATAAATTTCTGCTTCTATTTGTTTACTGTTTATTTATGTGAATTTATGTGAAAGAGACAACAAACTGGAAGTTTGTGCGAATTAGAAAAAAAAATTGTTTTTAACTAATCCTCTTTCACTTTCATCAACAAAGTAGGGGAATGTTTTTTTGTAAAAATTTTGCAAAATTCATTTGTTGAATTGAGAAAGCCAAAAGCTTATTATTTTTTATAGAAATAAGTTAGCTAAAATTTAATAGGGTCTTGTGAAAGGTCTCGAATTTACATATCGTTAAACTCATTATAATGAAATAGTAGCATGTCTAACTAGAAAACTTTAAGATAATATAAAAAATTTCAAATTCGAATTTTTATGGTTTTCCGAAACGGTGAAAGTCTTTATGATATTTTTTTGAAAACAATTTTGATATTGTTTGGTTCATTATAAAAATATAACGCACATTTTAACTTCGCACCTGTAGTTCTTTACGTGCTGTATTTATGTATTTTAATATAAAAAATTTTTTTGATATTCGAGTTCCCGATGAATTAAATAATCGTTTTGGAAATTGCACATTAAAGTGTTATCAAAAATTTTGTTTTCTTATAATGGAGCATAGAGTTTTGTATAGTTTTCTCTTTTAATAATTTTCCCCTGTAATAGATTTTGTGGCATGTTTTTATTTTTCTCATTATTTGTTTTTATTTATTTAATTTTTTTTTAAATATCTAAAATTATTTTTTAATATTGTTTTACTTTAACTATTTCGTTCTTTTTTTTATAATAAATATAATTGATTTTGTTTTTGTAAAACCTTAAAATATACACACAATATAAAATTGACAATTGCATAACATTAAGATGCAATTATTTTATATTATGAGCACTGGTATGGTTCTGATGAAATAATAGATTGCAACAGTAATAATAACAATAATAATAATATTAATAGTGGTATTTTGAAGAAGAAAAAAATTAATAATGGTTATAAATATAAAAATTGTTGTGCCAATACATTTTTAAATAACGAAAAATTTGATAACGAAATATCAAATATGTTTAATGAATATTCTTCGAATGAAATCGATCCACCAAAAATTATGAAAAACTTAACGAAATATAAATCTTGTCCATGCAGTAGCACAAATTTATTGATGAATTCAATTACATGGTTATGGAAATATGATCATGACAAGTAAATATAAAAATTAACTAATACTTTATTTAAAATGATGATTGTGAATGATAAAAAATGATGATTGTGAATGCTAATAAAATCTTTTTCATAACATGCAATGTATACTTAAGATTATTTTATAGCACTGCAGTTAATCATTTTCCTGAAAATTTTGAAGCACACAATTTCTTGTAATTTAATAATATTTTTATTTAATTATTACACTCACTGAGATTTTTAAATTCGGATTCTGTATATAAAATGCAATGTACTTTGGATGTGCATTTTTTTTAATTGTCAATTTATTTTAAATTTCATTTAAATCTGAATTTTATCGAAGAATTCTAACGAAATTGAAAATTCATAGATACATATTTTTATTCTTATTTTGAAGTACACTTACATTCCCATAAATTTAATATAATTTTCAAAAAAAAAAGAAAAAAAAAAAAAGAACTGCATTAAATTTGCATGAATTCATTTTCCAAAAAAAAAATATTTTCAATCAAAATTTTAATAAATTGCAAAGCATTCAATTTACAATTATCTAAGAAGTTTTTCAAAAGAGCTTATAAGTATACTTATTGTACTATCAGTGGTGGTTATTTTGATATTTGATCCATCATTTGATGGTCATTTAATTTAATTAGGTGGTTTTAAAAATTCAGCCTTGGCAGCGATGGAATGTAGCGTTAGATACAATACACTTCCTGTTATCTTTTACGGCAAACAGTACTACAATTTTATGTCACCCCTGCAATCCAAGCTTGCTTTTCTAGTAAACAGTTCCGCCATTGTACTATATAAATAAGTCATGATAACAATTTTGCTCCATATGAAAAGTTTCTTTCATGTAATAAAATTTCTAATTCTTAATAATTAAGTCCCTATGCCTAATGAGAAACATAACATAATAATTTAATAAAAAAAAGAAAAAATCCTATCATAAAATCTTCAGATTACATTTTTCCAATATTGGACAATCGTTTTCAAGAAGATATGCCAGAAGTTGTATTCTCACCAGCCCAAGCATCTTTAGGAGCAGCAGGTTCTAATGCAAGTCAAAAGGAAAAAATAAATTTACGTAAAGAATTTCCTGAAACATGGCTTTGGATGACAAATAACAAGTTAATAACGTTTCTTTTTTTTTATTTTTTTTATTTCTCTCTTACTATACAATTTATATAGTAAATTTATGTACCAAAAATCTTTAAAAATTATTTGGAATTCGGTTAAAAGACTCTCTTTTTGTTATCATTTTCTTTATTTTTATATATATATATATGTCCTAGGCTCGATGATTTTCCTAGAGTAGGGACTACCATCGGGTCTGAGACATTCCGTAGATAGTTCTGTGTTTATAGAATTATTATACGTATCAATGGGTTGTGGATCTAGTAATAAAATTTTCTACAAGTAAAAGTTTTGTAAGGAAATCTTAAGAGAACAAAAATAAATTTTTCTCCATTAATTTTGTAAATTTTCTTATATTTTATTTTTCTGTTTGTAGTTGATTGTAAATAAAAATAATTATTATTGGAATCTGAATTAAGCTTTTCTCTATAGAATCTTAATAATTTTATATTTTTTTATTTAAATATTACATATATATTATATATATACACATATACATATATATATATATATATATATATATATATATATATATACATATATATATATATATAAATATACGTAGATTATCTTATATGGGAGCATATTCAAGCCGATTATCCAGAATCTATTTATCAATCACTAGCACCTGAAGAATTAATTGGGGCAAACCATAATGATAATGCTATTATGGATGTATCAATAAGAAATATTTTTCCTGAAGATTGGATCTGGAATGACATAAAGTTAATATCTTATTTATTTAGATATTTTTTTTCTTTTTATGTTATTTAAAGCTTTGAAAAGAAAAATTAAATTTTGCTTTTCGTTTGATTATATTAAGTTTTGGTTCCTTACCACTCGCTCACGCCGCCCTTTTCCCAGCTGACAATTAAAATTTATGAAAACAAATTGGTGATTTTAAGAACAATAAAAAGTTTTTGTTTTTTATGTACATAATAAAAATTATTTTGAAAAATGTTCCACTAATCAACTAGAATTTTAATGCTTATATACATTTTTATATGAAATTATACATTTCAAAGTAATTACCAATTTTAGATTTTCTTATAACCAAAGACATTATTTATGTATGTTTAAAATACATACATAGGGTTTTTAATTTTTTTGAGTGTGTGGTTTATAAAGAAAATCCTACCTATATTTTATTAAATATTAATACCTAGTCTTAAATTATAGAAATAGTGGTATATAGACCAGTACTGTATATATATATACACTCATCCCTCACTTAACGGAAGCTCGTATGGAATTTCGGTTTTACGGAGTTCAAAAATTAGACCAAAGTCCCTTTTTGCGGAAAAAAATTCGATTTGCGGAAAATTTTTAAAATGCAAAAAAAGGTAGTCTAAAAAATTAGCAAAATAATGCAAAGAATGTTATCCGTATTTTCGCCTTACGGATAACATTTCCGGAACATGTGTACTATTTCCGTAAAGCGAGGGATGAGTGTATTCAAAAAAATATTCTTGCGTTAAAAATTTTAAGTTTATAAAGGTATTTTATGCAATATACATTTTTAAATATTAAAATTTAATTTTATCATAGTTAGAATTTTACTCTAATTTTTTCACATGTATATTATTATATATATTATATACATATATAATATACATATTTATATAAATAACGTGCATACAGTGCCTTTTTATTTTTATTACACAACAACACGTCCGTCAATATACACAACAACATATTTCCCAACAACGCCTATATCATTAATTGTTTCAACAAGACCAACTGTAGACACAGTACAGCATGAAAACAAAAAGATAATACAAAATGAATCATCGCCACCACGTGTCAGAAAAGAATTTTTTGAAACATGGGTTTGGCATTCAATGGAAATTCAAAAGTAATTTTTTAAAAGAATTAAAAAGATGTGACAAATCAAAAAACTCGCTGTTAAACTTTTATTTTTTTTTAATATTAACTTTTAAATTTCAATGCCGTCTTCAAAAATTGTCAATAAAGTCAACATTTACGCTTTTTTATTTTTATCAAAATTAAAGTTAATATTAAAAAGAAGCTGTTCTTTGATCGCTCCTATTTTTTTAATTTATTCGAACTAGAAATAATTTTATATCGCATTGCATACCTTCTACATTTTTACTTTTATGGTAGGGGGAATTTGTTATAAAATCGAACACTTTTGAAATTTATATAACATTAGCATGAGCAACCATCTTTTAAAATTACTTTAAAATTATATAATTACATACATGTTAGTATAACCTCTTTATGTCCCTCTTTGAATTAGTAACGGGATATTTATTTGTAAAATGCTGTTATTCATAAAATTTAAAATAATTTTTGCAATTACATTTTTTCATAAATTTTACTAACATAGTTATTTTCTATCAACTATTATTTTTTCAAATACTGTTGTTAGTAACAGAGAAGGAATCTGATCGATTGTGTTATTAAAAATATTGTCTTTCCATTTGACACAAATTAAATTTCGTATAATTTTCAATTAAGAATTTATGTAGCACTTTTATGGGTTCAAATTGAATGGAAAACTTTTAACATATATAAAACGTGGAGTTAACCAAGTATGGATCATAAACCCAACATTAGATACTTGACATCTATTTCAAAATTAATCATAGACACTTGTGCTTCCACTTCGAAATTCAATAAATATTCTTTACAAATATTGGCTGCTACTCAATTTAATCGAATTGAATATTTTCTTAAATATTTATTTGATATTAATTTAATATTCTTCATTTACTTGTAATTTACGTTTCTATATTTCATATTATTGTGAATTATATATAGACTACGAGTGTGAACATTGTTTTCTTGAGAATGAAGATATGGAAGAAGCACCTACTGTTGAAGCGTATGATATGGGAAACACAAATAATATAGAAAATAACAATCATATTAACATAAGGAAAGATTTTCCTGAGTCGTGGATTTGGTATTCAAATCGAATGTAATTATTCTAAAATTTTGTTGATTTTCTTTTATTAATACTTTTAACACATAATTCATATTATGTGTGTAACAAAATGCGTAGTCTTTTAATGTGTTAGTATGCTTGCACTCCTTAAAGAGCTTTCTTTGTATATTCATTTACATCTACATTTAAGTATACTTATAGACGTGGATATAATGATTGTAAGTCTAAATTTATCTGCGCCATGTTTCATTTGGTCTGCCCAATTTCTGCTTACTGTTAGGATTCAGTTGAATTTTATTCTCTCCATTTTCATTTCCTTTTTATTTGGATTTGTATAGATTTTTGCCATGTTAAATCCCAGAACTATGAGTTCTTGATTATTAGCCAGAATATCGTGCATATAAGTTTTACGCATTTGTTTATGAAGACTTGCATTTTATTTGTACTGTTTTCCTTTATTAGACAGGTCGCACTTCAATATAATATGATTTTACACAATCGTTGAATATTTGCATTTTTGTGCACCTCGCGTCAGACCAGAGTCTACCAAATACTATTCTGGCGAGTTTTATCAGTTCTCCAGATCTGTTTCAACACCTTCACCTGTAGTTATTGTACTACCAAGGTTCAATGACATCTTTTATTTCCGTGTTGTTTATTTTTGTGGGGCATTATTTCGGGAGTTAATTCTCATATTTTTTGCCTTACTCGTGTTTATTCAGAAACTGACTTCAGGCTTTGTGGGTGAGGGTCGTCTGCATACATTAGCCTTTAGAGGCTACGACTACGTTGAACAGCAGTTAAGAAAAAGGACACTCTTGCTCGACTCCGATCCTCACTCTTAATGAGTTGCCTGATTGACTTTGATGAAACACTTTTAAATTGGCATCTTCATATAGTGACTTTATTATGTCGAATATTTTGTTTGGAACGTCTTTATTTACCAAAAATTGCCATGTTGTCTCTCGGTTGA